TTTTTTCTGGGGACACGGGGCTTTGGTTGTTAACTTACATTATTAAAAGTTGACAGACTCAAACCTGATCTGAACCAAATTTTGGCCAGAAAATGGCAGGTTTTAAGACTGGCTCTTGGGTCCAGAGGAAGCAGCAATATTTAATCATCTGTTGTTTTCTCTTATGTTTAGTCTGCTCATCCTCTTTCCAATATTTTAGCTTGAGTCCTAAGGGACTATCAGGAGGAATTTGGTCACTCTCCCCTCCCTTGTTGCGTGGTCTACTTCCTGTCCCAGTCCTACTAGAAGCATTTCCCATGTTGAATCCCAAATAGGTCCAATCCCTCATGCTAGGGATGTTTTGCCTATTCCTTTCCCCTGAAGGCTGAACCCCCAGATACGGGGGATGTCTCGTGTGTCCCGCCCTTAAAGGCTTGCTAAAGGCTTAATCTGTCACGCCAGAGGTGTTTCACCGATTCTCTTTCCCAGGGAGGTTAACCTTCCTCCCTTTCCCGTTTGGAGGTTCCTTACACTCTTCGCGTTTGTGTCCACACACTGCCTGGACACAGCAACAGGCTGATAATAGAGCATACACATTCAGCCTCCCGAAAGCTGACCACCAAGGAAGTACTTTGCCGCCCTCTTGTGGCTCTTCCTACCTTAGCCCATGCACGGAGTCGCTTGGTTACCTTGGTCCCACAAGCCTCTCTCTTTCCCTGCGTTGCTGAGAATCCAAGGATATCCCTCGCACCGGGCAGGTCCCGGCTGTCCTCCTGGGGCGGCCACCAAGGGCGGCAGAGCGGCTTCCCATGAGAGAGGGCCAAAGACTGTCCCAGAGGCGAATGTTAATCTCGCTGGGGCCTCCAAATTGTTGGGAGTGGGTGCTCGGTGTCATAAAGATCAACACTGAGACAGAGGATCTCTCAGAAAGGTTACTTTCTGCAGAAAGGGTGCCGCTTGCTAGAAGTCTTGCCATGAACGCACACACGAACAAAGGAGACAGGGTCATTTATAACCTGACGCATCCACCCTACTGCTGTGTCCAGCTTCCATTGGCTGGAACAGGACCTCACAATTTGTACTTGACTCGAACTACTACAAAACAAACACAGCAAAAATCCAAAACCCAACTTTAAAAGGGGACAAAAGACTAAAATACTTCTCCAAGGAAGATGCACACATGGCCAATGAGGACATGCAAGGATTCTCAACATCACTAATACTTACAGATATGCAAATCAAAACCACAGTAATACACCACCTCACACACATTAAAATGACTTTAATAAAAAACAACAACAAGAATAGCATGAAACCACAAGTGTTTTCAAGTAGGCGGAAAAATTGGAGCTCTAGTGCATTGCTGATGGGAATGGGAAATGTTATAGCTGCTGTGGAAAATGGTATGGCAGTTTCTCAAAAAAATTAAAGAATTACTACTTGATCCAGCAATTCTACTTCTGGACATACAGAGATCTGGCCTGAGGCTCCCTCTCTGCCCATTTCCCTGTAGCCTGACCCAGGGGAGGCTTGGCTTCACCTGGCAGCTTGATTTAGCCAGATTCAGGACCAGCAGGACTGTCACATGCTCTCTGAGCCCCCCAGTGTAGACGGCAGGTCACAGGGTGCCTGGCTGATTCCTGGGGATGCCATGGGCACTCAGGCAGCCGCTGTTCTGTCAGTACTGGGCTCAGCCTGGGATGCCCCAGAAAACAGGACAGAAAAGCAGGGGCAGGTATTTAGAGAGCAGTCACAGAAGGAGTTGATGAAGTTGAAAGGAAGTCACAAGGAAAAAGTACCCAGTGTGGCATGACGTACACCGTGGCCACCCTGGGAGATGCCCTTTTGGGTGAGCCCCAGGAAGGAGGGCGTGTGGGGGACTGCCTGCAGAGGGAGCAGTCTCAGGTGGGCGGCTGCCTGGCTGCAGGGAGGAGCTGACAGAGTCTGTGTGGAGAGCTTGGAGGGTGCAGAGGTGACCCTGCTGGGCTGTGGGCCCTGCTGAGAAAGCTCAACAGCTATTCGGGAGGCCGCAGGCCAGTAGGAACTCTGCCGCCCTCTGGTGGACAGGGATGGAAGTGTGTACAGCGGTGGCCCCCCAGGCCAGGCTGCGTTTTATTCCTCGTGAATCTTCACATTTCACATGAGCTCACACATGTTATGTTACAGCTCCATCATGTTCCAGCCCCTCGAGTCCCAGGCTCTGTGGCTGTGAGTTCACTGTCCTCCCTGTTTCCCCATCACATGTCCCAAACACAGATTTTTGTCACTATCTGTGAGTTTGTGTTTGTGTGCTTTGGGCTACACTGTGCGTGCCGTGGGGGTGATATGTTTTGGGATATGGGGAGTGATGTCTCGGGATGAGCACTGAAGGGGGTTTGGGAACAGAACAGGGAGATGCGGGGTGAAAAGATCAGTTTCAGGGGAGCAGAGGGGGAGCAGAGACAGGTCATCTTCATTTCTCACTGTCAGGGGACCAGAATCCAGGACCCTGACTCTGGAACACAGCACCACACCCTGTTGGAGTCCCTGGGTGTCATAGGGCTCATAATTTCATGTTGCCTCGACATGCGTTTTTGAAAGTGTACATTTAATTTCCTCATCTCAGAGGCAGAACTTGGTCACCATGACAGAGTCTTAAATACTGTACCCAGTCCAAATGACTCCATCTGGTGGCCAGACATAAAATCTTGGAGGCATCTCTCCTGCTTAGTGTGCTGGGCTCCCCTCTCTCCAGCTGCTTCCTTTCAACTGACAGTTCTGACATTTGCCCTCAAATTTAAAGTGACCACCTTTCAGTCACAGCGTGATCTCCATGCCCCAGTGTTTGCTTGCTTTAAACACATCCATTAAAGCTCCCTGCTGGACACCTGTCAGATAACACCCTGGACCCGAAAAAGCTAACAGGTCCCTCCTCTCCTTTCTGTCTGGGCTTTCTAGAGTCTGTATCTGTTGTGTCGAGGTTGGCATGTGCTCGCCAGTGTAAGTAGTAAAAACACGATTTCACATTTTGGTTGTATCACTGAAGCCTCACCTGACATCCAGGTCCTGACATCAAGGAGGCCCCATGGGATCCTTGAAGGTTGAGGCCCTGCTGGAGCTCTTTTCTTGGGGCCTCTGGTGCTGCTGCAGACAAGAGCTGCCAGCTAAGTTAATGAAGAAACTGAAGAGTTTCATTCAAAACAAGGGTCAGATGGTATATTCCTGGGCTTGGGCTGTTATAACAAACACTGTTGCCTTGGTGACTTAAACAGTAGAAATCTATTTATCACAGTTCTGGAGGCTGGAAAGTCCAAAGTCCAGATGCCAGCTGATTCAGTCCTGGCTAGGGCTTCCCCGCAGGTGCCTGTTTTCTTAATGTATCTACAAATGGTGAAGGGCTGGGAGGGGGAGAAAAGACAGAGAAAAGACAGATGCAAAGATCCAGGAAAGACAGGAAGAATAAGGGCGGGTCCCTCCCATGATTGCATCTGCCAGCCCACTGAGAGAATGCTTGCTCCTTGTCCCCATGGCCCTGGGCTGCTGTGGATGAGGAATCTCTTCCTAGTTCTGATCTGTGGGAAGCCATGACAGCCCTCCAGCCATCCTGTGCCCCTAGTGCTGCCAAAACAGCAGGCAAAGGAGAGGTCTCTCTGCAGTCGGGGGAACGGCATCTGATTACAGAGGGAGGTCAGGTGGCTGGGACAAGGAGGCTATTTTCGAAGGCAGGCAACTCATGGGGGTAACATTTCCTTGGCCAGGGCCCTGTTCCATGGAAAACTATAGAAACTCACTAAAGACAAGGCCATCCAAGACTAACTCTCCATAAGAACCAAGATTTGGGTTACATTGCAGGTAACAAATAACATCCAAAGGAGGTTTTGGAGGTGGGAAAACAATGTGGAATGTACTAGAAGAAAGCAGCTCTGAGCACCAGCAGCCCCGTCCCCAGGACCTCAGCAGCTGTGTTGGAAGCCATCTCCTCCCCATCTTCCTCTCATTGTGGGTGAAGAACTGGTGCCCAGCATAATGGGAGGAGGGCATCATTGTCATCATCACACACACTGTTACTGTGACAGAGAAAAGGACTGGAATTGTGTGTCATCTGCAAGGAGGACTCTGATTTTTTTTTTCCCCCTTGAGACAGGATCTCACTCTGTCACCCAGGCTGGAGTTGACAGTTGCACAGTCTTGGCTTACTGCACCCTTGACCTCCTGGACTCAGATGATCCTCCTCCCTCAGCCTTCTGAGTAGCTGGGACCACAGACGTGCACCACCACAACAGGTAAATTTTTTGTATTTTTTGTAGAGAAGTGGTTTCACTATGTTGCCCAGGCTGGTTTCAAACTCCTGGGCTCAAGTGATCCTCCCACCTCGGCTTCCCAAAGTGCTGACATTACAGGTGCAAGCCACCGCGCCCGGCTTGGACTCTGATTTACATCTGGGCAAAGGGAAAGGGTGGATGCCGTAGAGGCAAGGGAGTGAATGGTACTAGACATGTTCTGTTTCCTTCTCCAGCTTCACTCTCTTCTCTTCCCTCCCCTCTTCTCTGTTCTCTACTGTGAATGGTAGATCTATGGGGGCTGAATCAGTGGAGTCTCCTGCTTCCAGCCTCTAGGGGGTTCAGTCAATGGGGAACCTAAACTGCAGACCAGAATGAGGACATCAGTTTGGAATTTTAGTTCCCCACCTCCCTCCCCAGTATCATTGTGGGCTGGATGCGTTTTTCAGCCTGAGGTGGGAGCTCCTGTTAGGCAACCCTCTCTGAATCTCTCTCTCTCTCTGTCTCTGGCTCTCTCTCCAGCTCTCTATTTCTGTCTGTGTATGTGTCTCTCTCTCTCTTCTCTGCAGATTCCAGCAGTGGCTCCTCTCCTCGCCCTTATTGGGCGATGGTGGTAAGAAAGACCCAACGGTAACAGCTCTGGGAAAATGCTAACCCATTTTCTTCTGGAGTTCTCTCAAGCCCTTATGTCAATTATCCCATGATAGGCAGATGCTACATAGCAACGTTTGGGTCAGTGACGAATTGTGTATAGAACGGTGGTCTCCTGAGATGACAATATTGTATTTATGCTGTCCCTTTTCTACGTTTAGATGTGTATAGATACACAAATACTTGTCGTGGTGTTACAATTGCCTGCAGTATTCACACCATAACATGCACTGCAGGCTTGTACCTGAGGGGCAGTCAACTCTACCACCCATCCTGGGTGTGTGTTGGGCTGTACCATCTGGGTTTTTGTAAGCGCTCTCTACAATGTTCCTATGGCGATAAAATCACCTAACGACACATTTCTCAAGACATATCCCTGTCATTAAGCAATGGACGACTATACTAACCTCTCCTGCAGTTGCTCAGGTGGGACGAGCCACCTGTTTGTGCGAGGACCCTGGCTGCTAGGCTGGAAGCCTCATACGTCTCAGTGCATCTTCCCCTCCAGGTAATGGTGATGCCCCAATACTTTTGGGTGGAGCACCCTGAAGTCTCTGCTACCATCCAAGCTGGTTTGGAGACGTGAACCAGACCAATAAAGGGCAGGCTTTGGATGATCATTTTTTCATTACGTTCCTCTCCTCCCCTACACTAGATCCCTGAGTGTCCTGCTGTCCCCTCACATGGAGAAACTTCAGCACTGGAGAAAGGACAAGGTCTTTATTATTCAGATACATGCAGCCACTCCTCCAACGTCCCCTCTCCCATAGGGCAAGTCCAGCTGCTCCAGGCTCTCCCCAGTGTCGCCATTAGGTGAGTAGACATGAATGATTGTGTGTGGGGAAGATAATTCATGGACAGGATGGGAAAAGAATTTGGTGTCCAAGGCCATTAGGTTACGAGGTCAGAGGGACGGTTGAGTGTGGTGGTCAGCAGGGGTGAAGAATCGTGGGGGAAATGGAGTTAGCAGGAAGGGCAAAGAGCCCCCCACCACAGCGCCAGGGCCAGTGCCAGCCCTACCCCCCAAGTGAGAGACTCCAGGCTCCCAGCCCCACCTCTCTCACGCACAGAGAAGATCCCGATTTGTCTGGTGTGTTTCAGTTTCAACAAGGAGCTGGAAGGTTGGGCCACACAGCCCTGAATGCCCATTGTGGTGGTTACCCCACCTAGAGAGAGAAGACCAAGTCAGAAAGGACACAAAGTACAGCACAGCCAAATTCGTGAACCCAGGAGTCCAGGCCCCAGTCCCTTCTCCCTCAGACCCAGGAGTCCAGGCCCCCAGTCCTCCCTCCTCATATCAAGGAGCCTAGACCCCTAGGCCATCCTCCCTTAGACCTAGGAGTACAGGACCCGCACCCCTCCTCTCTCAAACCCAGGAGCCCAGACCCCCAGCCCCTCCTCCCTCAGACCCAGGAGCCCAGGCCCCCATCACCTCTTCCCTCAGACCCAGGAGCCCAGGCCCCGAGTCCCTCCTCCCTCAGACCCAGGAGCCCAAGCCCCCATCCTCTCCTCCCTCAGACCCAGGAGCCCAAGCCCCCATCCTCTCCTCCCTCAGACCCAGGAGCCCAGGCCCTGGGTCCCTCCTCCCTCAGACCCAGGAGCCCAGGCACCCACCCCCTCCTCCCTGAAACCCAGGAGCCCAGGCCCAGCCCCTCCTCCCTGAAACCCAAGAGCCCAGAGCCCCAGCTTCCTCCTCCCGCAGTCCCAGGAGCCCAGGACACCAGCACCTTCATCCTTGGGGCCCTGCTTGCAGCACTCACCTCCTGAGAGACTAATGTACCCGTCATAACAATGAGTGGTGCCCCTGGGGCAGGTCTTTACTGGGGAGTCACTTGAGCAGGTTCCAAAGGGCTGCACACAGGTAAGACACTGCTGGTCTCCTGGCTCAGGGGCACCTGGGGAGCAGAGGGAAGGTGGGGGTACGTGACTTTGTGCTCAGAGCAGCCGCCCACCTTGGACCAGAGTGTCTGTGGGTCTGGGCCTCATTTCTCCATGGCCCTGGATCCCATACCTTGAGGAGGGAGGGAGTTCAGCAGGACGCTGCTGCTGCTGGCACCATTGCACAGGTCTGAGGAGCAGAAGTGGGCATAGGAGGCCACGAGCACCCCAGGAGGGGCTGAGTGGATGGAGGTCTTCTGGGAATTTTGAGCCCCAACAGCGCTGCAGCCTTTGCTCCACACCAGGGTCGATGTGAGTCCTAAGGGTGAGAGGAAAAGCTGGGCTGGGGGACTGGACAGCTCCCAGGGCAACAGGGGCTCCAGAACTGGACTCCCTGCCCTCCACAATACCCCTCAGGCAGAGGGTGAATGCCCTGATCACAACTGCATGGGTCATGTTTAGCATGGGGCAAAGACGGAGGCCAGGGCCTGGGTCCTCCCCGAAGCTCTGCCTCCTCCCAGTTCTCACTCAAACGTCACCTTCTCCATGAGTCTCCCCTGAACACTCAGCTTAATGTTGTAGCCTTCACCTCACTTTTCCTATCTCCTTTTCCTTGCCAGATTTCTCTCCAGAGCTGGGATCTCCATCCCTATACTTCGCTGCTTTTTGTTTGTTTCCTGTTTCTCAAGGTATATAAAGCTGCAGGAATACAAATGGGATTGGATCTGCAGCGCCTAAGACAGATGCTGGATAAACATTTCCAGCCTGTATGAAGCCACTGAGATTCCTCAGTGTTGGCACGGTTCTCCGCCCTGGGCAGGGATTACCGCATACATCGTCACCCCTACCCAGAAAGGTAGACACCGTCATTCCCACTGCTTCACCCCCAGTTTTCATAAGGGGAACCCAAGATCCAGAGAGAAGAATAGTTGAATTGAAAATTGCAGATGTGGAAGAAACGGAGCAGGAAATTCAGGGGAAAGAATCCAGTGGGGTGGAGGGAGCTGCCAGGGACCTGGGACAAGTGTTTGTCTTCTACCTCAGTCCACGCACCTACATCTATGAGCAGCAGCGTCTCCTGACACACCTGGCCCGCCTCGCATATCACAGTATTAGACATGGTCCATCCAATGGGTACTTGAGTCAAGTTTTCCTGCTTCTGCAAAGAGTTCCCCCGATGACAGGTCAGAAAATCTGGGGAGAGGAAACCCAGGGTCTCTGTAAGCCAGGAACCAACCATGTCTGTCCCTCCAGGTCCTCAGCTAGGGAAGGTGATCTTGCTCTTGAGTCACACTCCAGGTGACCAGGCCACAGAGTCCCTCAACCACGGATTCAGAAAGGACTTGGAAGTCCAAACCCCACCCTCATTGTTCCCCCTGTTTCTACTTGAACATCCGCAGAGACGTCCTCTCACAGCCCTGTGGGAATGGTCGTTCCTTGCTTCAGCTGTGAGAGCAATGGAAGCTCTTCCTTATCCTCTGCCCATCTCTGCTTCCCCACCTGAACTTTAAGGTCCTCACTTCAATAATAAGGAAGACAGCCTGAGACCTTTCTCATACCTTTCAGTTGCAAAGCCCTATGTTCCAAACAAAAGATGCGGAGGGCCAGGGTGGGCTGAGCACTGCCTCTGCACCCAGCTGACGTCACTGCTTCCCACAGATCCACCTATCTAAGGTCCCAGGGAGCTCAGCTTATCTGGGATGCCTCGTTTCCCCACAGCACCCCAACAGTAGGTGGGGTGATCACAATCAGCACCCTCATTTGCAACAAGGGAAACAGGCAGGATTGCTCAGTAGCCGCCTGTGCCACACAGCTTGTGAGCAGCAGAGGTAGGCTGGGATCCCAGGGACTCTGGACCCTCAGGGTCGGGGTTGAGGGTAGGACGGAGACAGGTACTGATGACCATCCTCGGCTACCTTGGCCCCGAGGCCCTCAAGGCTCTAGTGTGAAACCAGAGCCCCCAGCCTTCCCTCATGGCCATCACAGAGCAGGGGGCATCTGTCCCATGATGCAGGGACTCTTAGACTGAGCCCCCAGCTTCCACCAACACATGCGACCTGCAGAACGGATGCCACCCCGGAGGGCTGCTCATTTGCATGCTTCACAGATGACAAAATCAAAATCATGGCTCCTGCTCTCTTCTCCCACCCTTCTCTCCCCACTCCCATCTCCCCTACTTATACCTGTGGTGGCTCATCTCTGCCGGCCTAGCTGAAAAGGTTGGTGTTGTCCTTGACCACTCCCTTTCTCTCCCACGTTGTGTTCCTCAAGAAATTCTACTGGCTTGAGCTGCAGAAAATCTTCAAAACCCAACCTCGCGTCACCACCTCTGCTGCTTCCACCCAGGCCAACCCCCTCTTGGCTCCCACCTGACTCCCGGGGCTCTCCCTGTGCCTGCCTGCCACTCTTCCCCTTGCTGCATTCTCCGCCCACCAGGCAGAGGGAGGCTGGGTAAACTTAAGTCAGTTCATGTCACTCCTCTGCTCCGAAGACTCCAGGAGTTCCCTATTCTGGAGAATAAAATTCTAAGCCCTTCCAATGGCCTGGGAGGCCTGATAAGATGGGGCCACCTCCCCGCTCCATGCAGGTGTCCTACTCCGCTCCCTCCATCACTCTGCTCTGCACAGGTGCTTCTGGCAGGCACTCACCCACCTCAAGGCCTTTGCATCTGCTTCCGCCCCCTGTCTGCAACCATCCCCTCCTCTTCCCCACATCCAGGGAAAGAGGTTCCATGAGATATGGAGACTTTTGATCCTCATGTGATCAAAACGTGGGCCTGGGATCCACATGTCCCTGATTCAGAAGCGGGCTCTTCCCTGCTCTCTCACTGGGACCACTGCCCAGCTCCTTTAGGGGCAGCCAGGGCCTTATCTGCCCAGGGCTTCTTGGTTCTTCACAAGGGGCTGCTGCCATGGCCCCTTTTAGTAACCTGTGTCCTTGCACCCAGCCCTCCCACTGCTGTGGCTTCTTATAAGCGGTTCTAACACCCTGGAGCCTCTTCTCTCCCACACTTGGTCCCCAGCATCTTGTTGTTCCCCCAGTTTCTGATGCCTGGTCTTGTGATGCTCACTGTCTGCTAAGCTGCTGAACTGCACTTCACCAGGGAAGGCCAAACAGCCTCCAAGATCTGGCTCCAGTGCTGAAAGCAGAATATGAATCTCTATTAACAGCACCGATTTGTACGTAATAGCTGTGTTTTATGTGGTGTGTGTGTGTTTGTGTAGTGTGTGCGCACGGGGTGTGAGGGTGCATGCGTGATGTCTGCAGATGTGTGTGCTGTGTGTGTGTGGTATACATGTGGGGGGTGTGGTTGTATGGGGTGTGTGGTGTGTTCATGGCATGTTTGTGTGATGCATGCATGTGTAGACATACTGTGTGTATGTGGTATGTGTTTTTGTGTGTTTGGCATGGTGTGAGTTCTGTGTATCTGTGTTTTGTTTGCATGTGGTGTGTGTTTGTGTAGTGTGTGTGCATAGGGTGTGGGGGTGCATGCATGATGTGTGCAGGGGTGTGTGGTATGTGTAAGTGTGTAGTACATGTGTGTGGGTGTGGTTGTACAGGGTGTGTGGTGTGTTCATGGCATGTTTGTGTGATGCATGCATGTGTAGACATACTGTGTGTGATGTATGTGGTATGTGTTTTGTGTGTTTGGTGTGGTGTGTGTTCTATCTGTTTTGTTTGCATGTGGTGTGCGTGACATACCAGGTGTGTTGTGTGTATTGTGTGTTGTGTATGGTATGTGTTGCATGTCCAATATGTTGAGAGGGATTGTGTGTGGTGCCTAACATGTAGTGTGTATGTGGCATACACATAGTAATTGTGCAATTGTGTGATGCATTTGTGTGTGTTGTGCATATCGTATGCTCTGTGATTTGTGTTTCATATGTGGTATGTCAGGGGTAGGGGGGAGTGTGTGTGTGGTATGTGATGTGTGGGATGTGATGTGTGTGTGTGGTATGTGATGTGTGGTGTGCATGTGGCATGGTGTGATGCATTGGTGTCTGCTTTGCTTATTGTGGGCTGTGTGTGTGGCATGCGTTGTATCTGATTGTTTCTGAAATACCTTCTGGATTATCAGTGTCACCTGGTTCCAGAGACCAGGGCCAGACCCTTACCACCAGCATCAGTCAAAAGGAAAGATAAATGGCTCAGACCCTGCCCCTCCCTGCTCCCCTTCCATGGCTCCCCTGCCTTCAGGAGACGGTCCACCCCTGAGTCTGGCTTTTCAGGTACTTGAGCGACCACCAGGTTCCCACTGACCTCTCTCTCCCCCACCAGTATCCATTTCAAGGCATGCCAAGTCATTTCCTCCTCAGCCTCACACCTGCTGTGCCTTTGGCTTGGAGCAGCTCCCTCCTCGACCCCACACCCACCTTGTCCACCTGGAAAACTTCTAATCACCCCCAATCCCAGCTATGCCCCCTCATCTTGATGAGTCCTTCTCAGGTGGAGTGATGGACTCTTCTTGAAAACTGCAGGCTCACTCCCACCTCCAGGCCTATGCAGCTGCTACACACTGTTCCCTCTGCCACCAATGTCCTCTTCCTCTTCTACCAATAAGCTGTAGGTCATCTTTAACACACAGTTCACAGGCCACCTCCTCTGTAAAGCCCTCCTTACTCTCTACCCCAACAACATCAGTATCTTCCTCCTCTGAGCTGCCCCAGGCCCCACATCCCCATTTGCAACAGCCCTGATCACCTCAAGCTGTGACCATCTGTGTCTGTGGCACCTCCCCCTCCTAGTCCTGGAGGCCCTTCAGGTAAAAACAGGGTCTGACTCATTAGCGGGCTTTGCATGTCCTCACTTCAGCAAACACCTCCTGGTACCCTTCCTGAGCCGGCTCCTGAGCTACCCAAGGCTGGAAACCCTGGTGCCGGTGATACCAAGTCCCTGGCCTCGGGCTCCCAGCCTAGCCAGGGAGAAACAGCCAAATACACAGAGGAAGGTGTGCGGAACTCACACAACTCCCTCTTCTAAACTCTAAGGGCTAGCTTGATGGGGGCAGACAAGGAAACAGAGGCACGGGTAGGGAAAGACTTTGCTCCTAGGAGGGAAGCTGGGATTCCTATAAGACCCCCGCCTCCCCAGCATGGCTTCCTGTTGCCTTGGAGCCCTTCTTATGGAGACATTCCCTGGCACTCTCTTCCATGGCAGTACCCAAATGGGCAAGGGGGGACCCTCTCAGTGTCCTCGTTTAACTCTTGCTTTCTCTGTCACACCTGAAGTGCCCTTGACTTTCTCTCTGATGTTCTCTCCTGTGCAGGCAGGGCTGCTGGGGCACTCCAGCACCATGGGCAGGACCAGGGCTGGTGAGGGTGGCAGAGAGGCTACAGTGGCCTAGGGAAGTGGGAGACCTAGGGTTACGGAAGGCCAGGGGTGTGGAGACAGAGAAATTGAAGCAACCAGTCACTCTCAGCAGCATGAGAGCCAGCAGGGGCCCCAGCACTCACTGTTGCCTAAAGTCTCATGCCAAGCAGCCCACCCTGCACCCTTGACCTTCCTCCTACTGGCTCTGGTGTGATGGCTCTGGATGCCCCATGTGTCATCATGCCCCGAGGCTGCAGTGCAGGGCACAGCCTAGGGGCAGGACTCACCTTTCGTATTGCAGTTCTCAGTCATGCGCACGGGCCCAATTTCCTGTGTCCCATTGAGCAAGTTGCAATCTGGCTGAGGCATGCATCCCTGGACTCTCAGATTGGAGAAGATGCCTCCTGCAGAAAGGAGGAGCGAGGGAGAGTCAGTGATGCTGCCTTGAGGACCACTCAACCCTCAGAGGCAGGCATAGCTCCAGGAAGCCCAGGCCCACCCTCCTCTGGTTCTCATGCCTTGCCTCACCTCACCCTTACTCCCCAGAGACTAAGATCTCAGTCCCCAGACCTTCCCATTCAGTCCCCTCAGGGACCCCGATGTCCCAGGCTTACCTCCCTTGAGCCTGAGGAGGCCATTATAACAGTGCGTGGTCCCCTTGGGGCACATCTCTTCTGTTGTCCCCTCCGGACAGCCTTCCATAGACAAGCAGACTGGGCACCTCAAGGATCCTGGCTCTAGGGAAGTGACAGACAGAGTGAGGGGGCACTGAGAGGGCACTGGATTTGATCAGGTACCTTCTCTGCACCCCGCTTTTGCTGGCCTCAGGAGTCAACCTGCTCAGTCTTCCCAAAGGGGCCTTCTACAGCTCCTATCATGAGATCTAGATGTGGGAAAATAAAGAAGTGTAACCAATGAGAGAGGAAGGGAGAGAGAACAGGAGGTCTGGATAGAGGCACCAGGACTGGGTACAGAAAGTGGTCTTGGCTGGGCGTGGTGGGTCTTGCCTGTAATCCCAGCACTTTGGGAGGCCGAGGCAGGCGGATCACGAGGTCAGGAGTTTCAGACCAGCCTGGCCAACATAGTAAAACCCTCTCTCTACTAAAAATACAAAAATTAGCTGGGCGTGGTGGCTGGCACCTCTAGTCCCAGATACTTGGGAGGTTGACGAAGGAGAATCACTTGAACCCGGGAATCGGAGGTTGCAGTGAGCCAAGATTGCACCGCTGCACTCCAGCCTGGTCAACACAGCGAGACTATGAAAAAAAAAAGAAAAAGAAAGAAGAAAGAAAAGAAAGCAGAAAGACAAGAGAGAGAGAGAGAGAAAGAAAGAAAAGAAAGAAAGAAAGGAAAAAAAGAAAGAAAAGAAAGGAAGGAAGGCAGGCAGGAAGGAAGGAAGGGAGGGAGGAAGAAAAGAAGGAAGGAAGGAAGGAAGGAAGGAAGGAGAAAGAAAGAGTTCTTGGGGGGAAGCGGGGTGGAGGAGGGGCCTGCTGAGGCCTGATATAGACTCAGACATGGTCAAGTCTGAACCTTTCAACAAAATCTGGCCTTCTAAGGGGAGACACAGAAGCAGACTCATTGGTCAAGGGAAGGAGGGGATGCCCTGGAACGAGCCAGTGCCTTCACCTGCAAGGGCTGCTAAACCTCCAAGAACAGCAGACTTCTGTGTTCACAAGCTACTCCAATAAAAGAAGTGCAAACATCTCCCAAGACTCTTTATAACACCAGACAAGGAAAGTGGAAAGTGTCAATTCAGTCTCCCTTAGGAAGAGGAAATAGCAAAAAACCTGCAGGAGAACTTCTTGAACCAAACTCAACAGAATTTAAAAAAAAACAAAAAAATGAATGCAGGATGACCCAGTTAATGGTGATTTCATATCAGAAACCCGTCCTGTCTGCTCTTAGAAGAGGAGGGGTGCGGGGAGTCCTGGGTGGCAGAGGTGGGTGGGAGGGATCAGGATTGAGTGGAGAGGGATGGAAAGGGAGAAGGATGGGGCGGTGGCCAGGGAGCAGTCAGGGGAGGGATGGAGCCAGCGAGGGGCAGGACAGCCAGCGAGGGTGGGAGGGACTCCATAACAGCCCCTCTGTGCTCAGCAGAAACCCTCCTGATAGCCCCTCCCTCTCCTCCCATCCTCGGGCAGGCACCTGCTGGGGGCTGCGGGGTCCAAAGCGGGGCAGTGGTGACTAGGTTGTTGCAGAAGTCCTCGTGGCGGCACACATAGGTGTACGAGAACATGGAGAGGCCGGGGCCCATCCGGTGCTCAGTGATGCGGGGCTCCTGGTCCTTGGCCTCGGTGCAGCCCTTGGAGAGCACCATGCTCACTTGGGGTCCTGGACGGAGAGAGGGAGGCAAGCGAGGATGGAGGTCAGGCCTCCAGCGTCCTGGAGGGAGACGCTGCTACATTGGGTAGGCTGAGAGGCTGGAAAGGGGATCACCGGGACCCTAGGAGTCGCTCCTCCAGGAGGGGTGGCTCCCGAGTCACTGCACAGGGATCGAGGGACTGAGGGAACAGGGCAGGGTCTCTGCACCCCAGGGCCTTCTCACCGCTCTCAATGAGCACCAAGGTGTCCTGGCACCCCAAGCCGCTGTCACAGCTGATCTCCTTAGGGGTCCAGTGCAGGGGCAACTCGGACACATTCCACACGTCGTGACCTGTCCCAAACTGGCAGAGCAGCGCCTGCACTCCTGGAGTGGCAAGAGCAAATCCATCTCAGCAGGGTTCCCTTGCCCGGCCTCCAGGGAAGTCCCCTCTAGGCTAGGGTCATCACTCACCTGGCAGTGGGAAGCTGACCCCCAGGAGGGCCAGCAGTAACACCGGGCTCATGACCCGTCTGTGGCTGGTAATCTCTCTCTGCTTTTTCACCAGGAAACAAGTCCTTTATACCAGCCCTTAAGCAGCCAGCCCAGGAAAGGGTGGGGAGGGGAGGGCCTTGCTAAATGGAGGCCTGGGCCCCACCCCAAGTCTCCACTGCCCCACCGGCCTATCAGGGGCCCCCTTTCTTCCTCAGACCTTGGGGTCCAGGCCCCCAGCCCATCCTCCCTCACATGGAGGGTCCAGGACCCCCAGCCCCTCAGCCCCTCCTCCTTCAGACCCAGGGGTTCAGACCCAGTGGTCCAGACCCCCAGCTCCTCTTCCCTCAGACCCAGTGGTCCAGACCCCCAGCCCCTCCTCCCTCAGACCCAGGAGTCCAGGCCCCCAGTCCCTCCTCCCTCAGACCCAGGAGTCCAGGCCCTCAGTCCCTCCTCCCTCAGACCCAGGAGTCCAGGACCATAGTCCCTCCTCCCTCAGACCCAGGAGTCCACCCCAGTCCCTCCCTCCCTCAGACCCAGGAGTCCAGGCCCTCAGTTCCTCCTCCCTCAGACCCAGGAGTCCAGGACCATAGTCCCTCCTCCCTCAGACCCAGGAGTCCCAATCCCCAGGCCCTCCACAATTAGAAACTGTGGCATCTTGACCCTAGGGTCCCCCTGGTCCAGACTCCCAGCCCTCTTTCCTCCTCAGGCCAGCTGTGTGGATCGCCACCCCCACCTTGGTTCTCCAGTAGTTTGGGAAGGCAGTTTCCTCATTTCTCATGGGTTCCCTGGCCATGTCTGTACCCCAGACGGGGAAATGACCCAACTACCTCTGGGGACACTGTGCAGTGGCCATCGGCTCGTCCCCCTGTCTTCCAGCTTAGTTTCTACCCTCCACTGGCTTCCCACTTCTCTGTTCTTTCTCTTTCCTTCCCATATTGCTTTTCATTTGATTCTCCTTTTCATGCTTTTCTCTCATGCTTTCTCTTCTATTCTCTACCCTCACAGTACAACATAGTCCCCAATTTCCTACCATCAGGAAAGTCCCCAATTTCCTACCATCAGGAAAGACTTGGCCAGAGGTGGAGTGTAGACTGAATATCTATGAAAGAATTAGGATATATTTGAAAAATGCAACATCTATTTGCTGGAAGCCAATGGCAGAGCAGTGGTGTGCTGAAAAACTTACAGAAAAACAATATCCACAAATTCTGCCTCGTAGTGTTGGCCTATTTCTCTGGTGTAAATACTCATAGCATGTCTGATTTTAAGCTACCAACAGTTTACCAACCAGGCTGATGAAATCCCTAGCTATTTAACCATTGGCCTTTCCAGGGCTGTACAAATCAGCTGTAACACACTGGGGAGGAGGAAGACAGGAAGGAACCAGGGTTATCTGTCAGTGACTGCAGAGGGATGTTGGGGGTGTCTGTGATGGAGAGAGGAGAAACAGAAGAGGGAAGGCGAGGGCAGGAATAGCAGAGAAAGAGAAATGGATGTGACTTGCAATTATGTTTATTTTTGACATCTCTATAAATTTTATCTTTATTTGTCTTTGCAAGTTTAATATTTGCCACACAGACAGGGAAGTATTTGTTAAATCTCCTGCTATGTCTCCACCACCTATGTGGCATATAGTACATGTCCAGTAATTTATTTTTTTTTTTTTTAGAAAGAGAGTCTTGCTTTCACCTATGCTGGAATACAGTGGTGCAATCGTAGCTCACTGCAGCTCGCTACAGCCTCCATCTTCTGGACTCAAATAACCCTCCCATCTCAGCCTCCCCAGTACCTGGGACTACAGGTGCACACCACCATGTCTGGCTATTTTTTGTATTTTTTGCAGAGATACGGTCTCACTATGTTGCCCAGACTGGTCTTGAACTCCTGGGCTCAGGTTGTCCTCCCTCCTTGGCCTCCCAAAGTGCTGGAAGTAGAAGCATGAGCCACCAAGCCCCAGCCTCAATAAATATTTATTGAATGAATGAATGCATGAAAAGGGCAAGACAACAGCAGAGCCCTCACTCCATTTGTACAAGTTGTGCACCCTAGAAATCTTGCCCCCTCCCCAGCAATTCACATTGTCATTGTGTGGATGGTGCCCTGGAACTGTGCATGGCCTAAAGCAGTGTCCCTGATGGAAGAGGGAAGGGAAGGGTGGGCGAAGAGGCAAACAGAGTCATAGGTACTCAATTCAATGTGTTACTTTAACATACATGTGGTCAACAATCATATGAAAAAAAGCTCAACGTCACTGATCGTTAGAGAAATACAAATCAAAACCACGATGAAATATAGCCTCACACCAGTCAGAATGACTATTATTAAAAAGTCAAAAAGTTACACATGCTGGGAGAAAAAGGAACACTTCGACATTGTTGCTGGAAGTGTATATTAGTTCATCCATTGTGGAAGACAGTGTGGCAATTCCTCAAAGACCTAAAAACAGAAATACCACTTGACCGAGCAATCTTATTAATGGGTATATACCCAAAGGAATATAAATCATTCTATTATAAAGATGCATGCATATGTATGTTCATTGCACCACTATTCACAATAGCAAAGACATGGAATCAATAGAAATGCCCATCAATGGCAGATTGGATAAAGAGAATGTGGTACATATACACCATGGAATACTATGCAGCCATAAAAAAGAATGAGACAATATACTTGGCAGGAACACGAATGGAGCTGGAGGCCATTGTCCTTTTCTGACTAACACAGCCACAGAAAACCAAATACCACATGTCCTCACTTATAAGTGGAAGCTAAATGATGAGAACACGTGGACACATAGAGGGGAACAACATACACTGAAGCCTATCAGAGGGTGGAGGGTGGGAGGAGGAGGAGGAGGGAGAAGATCAGGAAAAGTAACTACTGGGTACTAGGCTTAATACCTGAGGGATGAAATAATCTGTACAACAAACCCCCATGACACAAGTTTGCCTATATATTAATAACAAACCTGCACACGTACTTCTGAACTAAAATAAAAGTTAAATTTTAAAGAAAGTCTTGCTTTAATCAACAAATGTTTACTGAGGCTGGAATATGTGCCAGACACCATCCTAGTGGCTGGGGATACAGAGATGCAAAGAAGAAGGAGGCCGCTGCTTTTTGTCAAGCTCACAGCCTATGAAGGGGCAGACTCTAAACCAACACAGAAGCATGAAAAATATTAGGTGGTTCAGGGTGCTGGGTAGAGAGTGAAAACCTGGTGAGGTGAAAGTAGACAACTGAACTGGCTGCTTTGGCTAGTAGGAAATCAGTGAGGGCCTTCCTGAGGAGGTGGCATTTAGCTGTGAGCAGAATGGGAAAAAAAAAAAGAGCCAGCCCTGGAAGGACATGCAGAAAGAGCATTCCAGGCATGGGAGGAGCAGGTGCAAAGGCCATGAGGTGAGATCCAGCTTGGTTTAGGTAAGAATTAGAAAGAGATGCCAGGCCTGGGTGTGGTGACTCACACCTGTAATCCCAGCACTTTGTGAGGCTGAGGTAGGTGGATCACTTGAGCTCAGAAGCTCAAGACCAGCCTAGGCAACATGGTGAAACCCCATCTCTACCAAAAATACAAAAAATTAGTGAGGCATGGTGGCATGTGTCTGTAGTCCCAGCTACTCAGGAGGCTGAGGTGAGAGGATCACTTGAACCTGGGAGTCAGAGGTTGCAATGAGCCAAGATCGTACCACTGTGCTCCAGCCTGGGCAACATGGCAAAACCCCATCTCAAAAAAAAAAAAAAAACCCGCCAGGTGTGGTGGTGCACACCTGTAGTCCCAGCTACTCAGGAGTCTGAGATGGGAGGATCACCTGAGTCCAGGAGATCAAGGTTACAGTAAGCTGAAATCGTACCACTGCACTCTAGCCAGCAAGGAGCAAGACCCTGTCAAAAGAAAAAAAAAGAAAAGAAAAGAGATAAGAAAAGAAAAGAAGGAAGAAAGGAAAGAGAGAAAGGGAGAGGGAGAGGAAGGAGGGAGAGGGGAAAGAGGGAGGGAGGGAGGGAGGGAGGAAGGGAGGGAGGGAGGGAGGAAGGAAGGAAGGAAGGAAGGAAGGAAGGAAGGAAGGAAGGAAGGAAGGAAGGAAGGATGGAAGGAAGGAGAAAGAAAGAGAAAGAAAGAAAAGAAAAGAAAGAAAAGAAAGAAAAAGAAAGAAAGAAAGAGAAAGAAAAAGAAAGAAAGAAAGAAAGAAAGAAAGAAAGAAAGAAAGAAAGAAAAAGAAAGAAAGAAAAGAAAAGAAAAGAAAAGAAAAGAAAAGAAAAGAAAAGAAAAAAGAAAAGAAAAGAAAGAAAGAAAGAAAAGAAAAGAAAGCAAGCAGGTGGTGGCTGAACTGTAGTGGGTGAGAGGGAGGGTGACACAGAGTGACAGGAGACTGGAACAGAAAGGTCTGATCAGGCTGCTTGGCTCAACTCTCCTGCTTCTGTCTGTGTGACCTCCGGTCATTCACTCTCCTCTCTGAACTTCCTTGTGCTCTTCTGTAAACCGACACCATGGTCAACTGCACCCGATGGGTTGTGGTAAATATTAAGAGCCTTGTACTACTCAAAGTATATTCTCAGCAAACAATGAACAGGGTGACCACTATGAACCCTGACTGCTTCAGGCTGTTGTCTGAGCACTCATTCAGGCACGGCCACAACAGTGAGAGAGCGCCTATTTTTAAAATTTATTTTTTAAAATTATGTATTCAGGGGGTCCATTTGCAGGTTTATTACATGAGTATATTGCATCGTGCTGGATCCTCTATTGAACTCGAAACTCAAATAGTGAGCATAGCGTCCAATAGGTCGATTTTCAACCCTTGGCTTCCTCCTTCCCTCCCGCCTTTTGGAGTTGCCCATGTCTATTATTACCATTTTTATGTCCATGAGTATCTAAGGTATAGCTCCCACTTAAAAGTGAGAACATGCAGTATTTGAGTTTCTGTTTCTGCATTAATTCACTTAGGATTATGTCCTCCAGCTGCATTCATGTTGCTGCAAAGAGCATGATTTTATTTTATTTTTATGGCTGCATAGGACCCCATGGTGTATCTGCACCACATTTTCTTTATCCAATCTACCAGTGATGGATATTTCAGTGGATTCCATGGCTTTGCTGCTGTGAAGAGTGCTGTCATAAACATATAAGTGCAGGTATCTTTTGATAAAACAATTTCTTGTTCTTTGGGTAGATTTCTAGGAGTGGGATTGCTGGGTCGAATGATAGTTCTATTTTTAGTTCTTTGAGAAAGACAGATCCCATTAATCGTCCAATTTTATTGGTGAAGAGACGGAGCCCTAGAGGAGCTAAACAACTGCCGGGCGCGATGGATCACGCCTGTAATCCCAGCACTTTGGGAGGCCGAGGCGGGCAAATCACGAGGTCAGGGGATCGAGACCATCCTGGCTAACACGGTGAAACCCGTCTCTACTAAAAAATACAAAAAATTAGCCAGGCATGGTGGTGGGCCCCTGTAGTCCCAGCTACTCGGGAGGTCGAGGCAGGAGAATGGCGTGAACCCGGGAGGCAAAGCTTACAGTGAGCCAAGACAGCGCCACTGCACTCTAGCCTGGGTGACAGAGTGAGACTCCGTCTCAACAACAACAAAAAAAAAATTACAAAAATAAGCCTGGTGTAGTGGCAGGCGCCTGTAGTTCCCAGCTACTCCAGAGGCTGAGACAGGAGAATCTCTTGAACCCAAGAAGCAGAGGTTGCAGTGAGCCAAGATCATGCCACTGCACTCCAACCTGGGTGGCAGAGCAAGACTCCGTCTCAAAAAAAAAAAAAGAAAAAAAAATTTCAAAGCTGCAGAAAAGCTGCAAGGACAGTACAGTATTCCCTTCACTGGATTACACTCACTCTTCACATTTTACTGTATTTGTTTATGCACACACGACGCATGCTTTTAAAATATTCTTAAATTTTAAAAACAAGGAGTAGACATTGTAACTCTCACCACTAAGTGCTTCAGCAAGAACCTTCTTAAGATTATTCTTAAGGGGACTGGGCACGGTGACTCAGGCCTATAATCCCAGCACTTTGGAAGGATCACTTGAGGTCAGGAGTTCAAGACCAGCCTGGTCAACATGGTGAAACCCCATCTCTACTAAAAATATAAAAATTAACTGGACATGGTGACACACAACTGTAATCCCAGCTACTCGGGAGCCTGAGGCAGGAGAATCACTTGAAGCTGGTGGTGGAGGTTGCAGCAGTGAACCAAGATTACACCACTGCACTCCAGCCTCAGTGACAGAGCCAGGCTCTATCGCAAAAAAAAAAAAGAGGTATAATTATTCTTTTTTTCTCTCTCTCTTTTTTTTAGATGGAGTTTCGCTCTCTTACCCAGACTGGAGTGTAGTGGCATGATCTCTGCTCACTGCAACCTCTGCCCCCTGGGTTCAAGCAGTTCTCCTGTCCCAGCCTCCCGAGTAGCTGGGATTACAGGCACCTGCCACCTCGCCAAGCCAATTTTGTATTTATGGTAGAGACAGAGTCTCACCATGTTGACTAGGCTGGTGCTGAGCTCTTGACCTCAGGTGATGCACCTGCCTCAGCCTCCCAAAGTGCTAGGATTACAGATGTGAGCCACCACACCCAGCCTATATAGATATTCTTAAGGACTTTGTCCTACGTAACCACAGACCAGGATAAGACCCATGTAGTTTACATGGATGCACTGTTGTCTAATAGGAAGCCCATTTCCAATTTGCTCTGTTGTCCCAATAACATCCCTCATTGCGTTTTTGCTTTCTGATCAGGAGAACATCCAGGGTCAAGCATGAACTGCACTGCGTTGTCTTCATGAAAGAGAAAAACTCAGGACCCCAATTCACCATGACAGAAGGAAAAAAAAAAAAACTGGAAGCTGAGTCATGCAAGAAACTGCCTTTCCTTTTGTTCCTAAGCAGACAGCTACAGAGAAAAGGTTAAGTATCTCCGTTGGTAGCTACTCTATGTTCACCTTATCTTAAAAAAAAAAAAAAAAAAAAAAAATTTGCTTATTTTTTTTTTTGAGACAGTGTCATACTTTGTCTCCCAGGCTGGAGTGCAGTGGCATGATCTTGACTCACTGCAACCTCTGTCTCCTGGGCTCAAGTCATTCTCTCACCTCAGCCTCCCAAGTAGCTGGGACTACAGGCACCCGCCACCATGCCCAGCTAATTTTTATATTTTTTTGTAGAGATGGGTTTTGCCGTGTTGTCCATGCTGGTCTCAAATTCCTGGGCTCACAAGATCCTCCCGCCTCAGCCTTTCAAAGTACTGGGTTACAGGCGTGAGCCACCAAGCCTGGCCATGTTCACCTTATCTTTTGTAAGGTGCCAATTTACTGAGAGTGAGATGAATACATGATTGATTATTCCCCTACCTCCTCCTTTCTCTTACACCATGTGGATTCAGCAATGCAACTACACCCTCCTTCTTTCACCTCCAGCCAGCTTTTCCACTCTAAATATTGAATTCCTCAAAATTATCTTTGGAAAAGGGCGCAGACCACAGTCTGTTTCTATGATTGCATGGTTTTTTCTATGTCCTTAACCTTGGCAAAATAAGTTTCTAAGCTGATGGAGACCTGTCTCAGACACCTTTTGGTTTACATCTCATCTCTGGACTCCCCTTTAATCTAGGAGTGCTCCCCAACTACCTTTCATTTTCTTTAATGTCATTGAAAGTGAATGGTTCACTTTTTTTTTTTTTTTTTTTTGTAAAGTCTTCCACCACCTGAATGTGTCTGACTCTGACTTTATGATTAGAGTAGTTTTAATGATTTTTGGCAATGTTCTTCTAGCTGGGTGTCGTGTGTCACATTCAGAAGGTCTTTAATGCCTGTTTGTCAAATTCTTGGTTAATTAACAAGTGCTCTGTGAGGTAAGCCATGGAGGCTGTGTGAAAGTCCTATTCCCCACCACAACACCCTTCTGTCTCCTTGCACACATCATGCCCAAGCTACTTCCAGAAAATCCTCCGTGACCACAGCAAATCACATGATGCTTTTGGTCCAGCTCCCCTGCTGCCCTCCTCTCCACTCCTCTGCCCATTACAAGAAGCCTTTACACCCAGGCAGTTCAGCACCCAGAACTGGTTCCATTCATCCCATTCAAGGACAGGAAAACTGAGCCCTGGGAAGGAGAAGTAAAGCTGGAGTCACAAAGCCAGGAAATGATGGCCAGGGCCACGAACCAGGCCTTATAAACAACCTGCACTCTTCCCCCTCCAATGCAGCCTGCCGAGGACACTCATCAGTCATCTGAATGTTTCACTTCCAGCCTCCTCATCTGCCAAGCACCCAGCATGTTCCAGCAAAGACAAATTATTCCTATGGCAAACTGATCTGCATTCAGCTTATGGGACTTTATGTTATAAAGAGGAGGGATCTATGGCACTTAATGAAAAGTTACACTTAAAGATTTTTACAGACCTGACTGGGTGTGGTGTCTCACGCCTATAATCCCAGCACTTTGGGAGGCTGAGGCAGGCGGATCACCTGAGGTGAGGAGTTCAAGACCAGCCTGACCAACATGGTGAAACCCCGTCTCTACTAAAAATACAAAAATTAGCCAGGCATGGTGGCGTGTGCCTGTAATCCCAGCTACTCAGCTGAGGCAGGAGAATAGCTTGAACCTGGGAGGTGGAGGTTGCAGGGAGCCGAGACTGTGCCATTGCACTCTAGCCTGGGCGACAGAGTGAGACTCCGTCTCAAAAATAAAACAAAAGATCTTTACAGGCTTTCGTGTACTGACCAGAGAAGCAAAAATGAATGAAAGGATTACAACATGAGGCTGGCATTGCTGTGCACCTATATCCTTGAGTGCTAGTGGCCCTGTGGATTAGATCAACAATTTGGAAGCCAATTTGACACTAGACCAACAAAGTCCTTTGACCTGGAGTTCCATTTTGGCAAAAAATAGTAATAAATAAATAAATAAATAAATAAATAAATAAATAAAATCCCTAAAGAGCATAAAGAGAAAGGAAGTTGTGATATTTGGAAATTGTGGGCTTTGCGTAAAGAGGCTGATTCTAGACCTGCTATCGTTTCACTATGACCTGAACAATTTGCTTCCTCTTTTTAGCCTTCCACCTCTTCCTGCAAAATAAGGCAGGGTTTTCAATCTCTTCATCACACAGGAAAAGGAAATAGAAAAATAAATAAATAAAGCCCACTCCAGGAGCACTGGCTCACGCCTGCCGTCCCAACATTCTGGGAGGCCAAGGCAGGCAGATCACTTGAGCTCAGGAGTTCATGGCCAGCCTGGGCAACATGGAGAAACCCCCCCTCTACCAAAAATACAAAAAAGTAACCAGGCCTGGTGGTGCACACCTGTAGTCCCAGGTACTCGGGAGGCTGAGGTGGAATGATCTCTTGAGCCTGGGAAGTGGAGGTTGCAATGAGCCAAAATTGCATCACTGCACTTCAGCCTGAATGACAGAGCAAGACCCCCTCTCAAAAAAGACAAAGAAAGAAATAGACAAAGCCCAGTGCTGGCAGTGCTGTGGAACTAACATCTTAGGGTTGGTGGAGAGAGTGGACTTAGCACTTGTGGAAAGAGCCATATTTCCTGGGGGCCACAAGGCCACATATGCCCCGTGAAGACTCACCAGGGAGTGTTGAGCTGCTACCCATCTTTCATCTATTTGTCAGGCAAAAATTCTTTCAAGATCATTCCACTTGATTTTCTTTTAAATAAAAATAACATGGGAATGGAATGGAATTGCTGAGTGGTATGGTGGGTGTATGCTGAAATTTTTAGAAGCCGCCAGATTGCTTTCCATAGTGGTTGTACCATCTTACACTCCCACCAGCAGCATGAGCGTTCCAGTGCCTCCACATCCTTGCCAACACTTGACGTGGTCCCCTCTTTTTAATCTTAGCCATTCTAATAGTTCTGTAGTGGTATCTTACTGTGGTTTTATTCTGCATGGTTTTCTTGAGACAGAGCCTCATTATGTTGCCCAGGCTGGAGTACAGTGGGCCCATCATAGCTCACTTTCTCTTCAGGAAACTCTTCCCTGATCTTTCAGTCTAGGTCAGAAGCCCAGTAATATATAGTCATGAGGCCCCCATATTTATCCCTTTTGACTATTAGTGAATCTGTAATTTTTTTTTTTTTTTTTTTTGAGATGGAGTTTCACCCAGGCCGGAGTGCAATGGCATGATCTCGGCTCATGGCAACCTACACCTCCCAGGTTAAAGTCATCCTCGTGCCTCCGCTTCCCAAATAGCTGAGATTACAGGCATGAGCCACCATATCCAGCTAATTTTTTAATTTTTGGTAGAGACAGGGTATTAGCATGTTGCCCAGGCTGGTCTCAAACTCCTGACCACAAGTGATCCGCCTGCCTCGGCTTCCCAAACTGCTGAGATTATAGGCATGAGCCACTGTGCCTGGCTCAAGGTTGACTCTTAAGACTTACAACCTTGCTACTTCAGTGTTGGTCTGAGGACTGAAATGATCACCTCTTATCCATCAGGAAATAGCATCACTTCTCTAAACTTCAGTGTCCTCATTTGAAAAATGGTAAAAATGTGGGCGGAGGATTACCTAGATGCCGAGGCAAGAGACTGAAGGCACATACTGTTTCAGTATAATAAAGAAAATAGAATAAGAATAGTCATAATACAAATTAGATATAGAGATGATCATGGACAATTATCAACCATCATAAACATTATTAATCATTAGTTTTTAATATACTCTTTGTTGCATACTAATATAACCTAGGAATAACCGGCAGGTATAGGGTCAGGTGCTGAAGGGACATTGTGAGAAGTGACCTAGAAGGCAAGAAGTGAGCCTTCTGTCACGCCCACATAAGGGCCGCTTGAGAGCTCCTTGGTCAAGCGGTAATGCCAGTGTCTGGGAAGGCACCCATTACTTAGCAGACTGTGAAAGGGAATCTCTTTTCCTTGGAGAAGTCAGGGAACACTCTGTTCCACCAACTTCTTATGGAAGGCTGGATATTATCCAGGCCTGCCCGCAGTCATCCAGAGGCCTAAACCCCTCCCCGTGGTGCTATGCTTCAGCAGTCACACTCCTTGTCCATTTTCATGCTCCTCCCGCACTCCTGGTTCCTCTTTGAAGTTCATAGTAGATAGCGGTAGAAGAGTGAAAGCCTTAAAGTCTTTGATCTTTCTTATAAGTGCAGAGAAGAAAACGCTGACATATGCTGCCTTCTCTCTCTGCTTGGGCTACCTAAAAGGGAAGGGCCCCCTATCCTGTAATCACGTGACTTGCTTCACCTTGTCAATCACTTAGAAGATTCACCCTTCTTACCCTGCTCCCTTGTCTTGTATGCAATACATATCAGCGAGCCCAGCCGTTCAGGGCCACTACTGGTCTCCGCATCTTGATGGTTCCCCGGGCCCAGCTGCTTTCTCTTTATCTCTTTGTCTTGTGTCTTTCTTATCTCCGCACATGGGGAGAACACCCACTAAGCCCTGTAGGGCTGGACCCTACATAAAAATTCCTGCCCTGCAGGTAGGCGAGGAAGTTCAGAAGTGGTGTGTATAAAGTGCTTCCTATCTAGCCAGGCAGTCTTGAGTTTCAAGGCCTGTCTTGTCATTCAGGGACTGTGGAATGGTCTCAGTGTTGGAGCAGAGAGTGGCATTTGGTGCTTGGTGTCATCCTAACCCCCACAGTCCTGTAGTAGTTAGCTAGAGCTGCCATGACAAAAATACCACAGAGGAGTAGATAAGCAACAGAAACTGATTTTATCACAGTTCTAGAAGTTGAAAGTCCATGCACTTTCCTCCTCTGTAAGAGGTCACAGCGTTTCCCATGAGCTCTCATATATGTGGTGGAGGGAGAAACAGAAGGAGCAGGTTCCACAGAAGTCTGAGTCACCCACTGGGTCACTGGTGCCCTGGGACTTGCTGGGGCCTGACCCCATATACAGCTCTCCCTCAGATGCTGGAGGCTGCTGTGCACGACCCAGGTAACTCAGACGTCACCAGAACATGATGTGCCACTCAGGTCCCAAAGCCCTTGGTGTCCTGTGGTCCGGCATTCTGATTTCAGTAAGCCCAGGGATAAGCCAACAGCTGCTTTCCCAATGAATGCTTACCTGCAGGAGGAGTCATCGTCTTTCTCTAGAACCTCCAGTTCTGCACTGTGAATCTTCTGGAGATCGTGAAAGCCTGCATAAAATAATACACTGGATTTGTAACATAGATGCTGTAACATTCATTAGTTTCTTTTTTTTTTTTTTTTTTTTTTGGGATGGAGTCTCACTCTGTCGTCTAGGCTGGAATGCAGTGAGGCCATCTTGGCTCACTGCAATCTCCGCCTCCCAGGTTCAAGCAATTCTCCTGCCTCAGCCTCCCGAGTAGCTGGGACTACAGGCGCCTGCCATGATGCTTGGGTAATTTTTGTATTTTTGGTAGAGACGGGGTTTCACCCTATTGAGCTAGTCTCAAACTCCTGACCTCGTGATCCACCAGTCTTGGCCTCCCAAAGTGCTGGAATTAGAGATGTGAGCCACCACACCCAGCTTCATTAATTTCTTAATACCCTCTTCCAGGAGTTACTGAGAAAGATATTTTACAATTCTAAGTGGAATATTTTATTGGGAAGGACTGTGGTTTATTTCTGCGATAATTCTACTGTGGCTTAAACAGTTTGTTCTTTTATAATTTGGAGTATTCCCTCTACCGCCTTTACTTTTGACCTTTGATATTTACGCTATGCAAATTTATCAACCCCTGATTTTACTTCCTCAAAGCCAGTATGAGGCTAGTCAAGCCTGATTTCCTCTTACAGGAACTAAGGCTTTTGCCCCATGGTACTTGTGTAACCAGGTTACAAGATTTAAAAATCTATTTCAAGTGACAGTAATTAAAGAAAAACAAAAAATCAAATGTGGGCTACTCTGGAAGAAGAAAGCATTGGAATGTAGATTTTATTTGTTTATTTGCAGAGACATGAACCAACTTATACTCGTTTAATTTCCACACTATTTATGGAGAGTCTAAAGTCAATTTCTGGGAACAGAAAACCAACTTGAAAAGCTGTTTAAATACTATTAATGGGACTTACAAAGGTACAAGCGTTAAGAAAAAGAGAGGAGAAAAGAGAAAAGAGGGGTAGAGAGAAATGAAAACGTGATACAAATGAGAGCCAGACAATGGAGATGGAGAAAAAGCCGTCGAGAGGGACAGAGGGTGTGATGGAGGTCTACAGAATCTAAAGATCCACCTCTCTTCTCCGGACGCTGACTTCTTACCTCATCCCAGAAACAGACTGAGCTTTAACTCTGACCACATACTCCTCAGGGTGACAGAGGGTGAGGCCACCTGCACCCCACCAACCTTCCACAGCCCCTCTGCATGGGCTCTGCCCGGCACCCTACACGTGCTCTGAGGCCTCTTATTGCAACAAATGACTTCTTCGGGCTTCCGTTCCCTCCACCACCTCTATTTCCTCGGTCAAGCATCTTCAATGGTCTGGATACGTGTATTTGCTTCCATTTGTCGCCTTCCACTCACTCGTCCATGTCCACTTCCGTCTTCCCCTTTCTCTAACATTGCTTATTCTGAGGTTAGCAACATCCTCCTTTATTGCTAAACCTGCCAGGAACTCACCAGTTAGTTTTGCATCCTTTGACACTGAGGGCCACTTCTTTTCCTGGAATAATCTCTGTGAGGTAAATATACATTTTTAAAAATTTTGTTTAGCCTGGTACAAAAAGATACAGAGACTCTCCTCTTTTCGCTCAGAGCATTTTCTATTCATTCATTTATTCATTCATTCATTGACAGAGTTTCCTTCTGTCACCCGGGCTGGAGTGTAGTGGTGCCATCCAAGATTACTGCAGCCTTAACCTTCTGGGCTCAAGCGATCCTCCCTCCTTAGCCTCCTGAGTAGCTGGGACTATACACACACCCCACCATGCGCAGCAAATGTATTATTATTTGTGTGTGTGTGTGGAGATAAGATCTTGCTATGTTGCCTAGGCTGGACTTTGAGACCTTTTTTTATTTTTTAGAAGAGGTGTAATTGAAAATCCTTTCTCTGCCCCGTGGAGATGTATGTAAAGTTTTCTAAAGCATACGTAAGCCTCTTGCCTGCCTCACAACCCAGAACTGTCCTCCTCAAGGCCCTGGGAGCTCTCTCTGAAAAGCAGGCATCCGGGCAGAAAGCACCCCTGTCTCCCAGTTTCTGTGAGAAGGAAGGAACCTCAGTTCTGGGGGCATCTCACTCCCAGTTGCAAAATTACCTCCTGTCATAGATAAGAGAGGTTTGTTTTTCCTGTGGATAAAGCCAATTAACCACACAGAGAATCAACCCAGTTACTGGGCGAATTTAGGATGAATTATGTGTGACAAATGGTGCCGTCGAGTCCTCTCACCTGGGGACTAGTCACCGTCTATCTGGAGACCATGTGTGTAACGGGTTGCGCCTGCTTGACTGGATACAAAGGTGGAGTTTCTTTCTGTCTTTGTCATCTCTTAGCAAATTGCATCACATTTTGGCTTAATGGTTACTCAATCATAAGACAGGTTTCTTTTACTTCCACGGATGTGAGGGGGGTTTCTGGGCTGAGCAGAAATTTGTTTCTTAATTATATTTTTCCAGCACCCCACACCCAAGTTACTCCACCTTCTCTGAAGCTGCTTCCCCCAGGCTTTAACAGAGGCTGCTCCCCGGGGTTCCTCCCAGGCCCTGCCTCTCCTGGTTCATCTGATCTCCCACCCTCAGCGTACCATGGCTTCCCTCCCTTCCATGTGCTGATGCCTCTTGGATCTCTAACTCTAGGCAGAACCTGGCTTCTCAGTTCTTCAGCTCAAATACCCACCTTGGGACGGGCGTCTGCACCGGGACATCCTGCCGGGAACTCTCCTGGTGGAACACAGTGCATGTTCTCTGGCTGCCCTGCAGTTGTTAAATGCCACCAGTACACGTGGGGAATGTTCTGCTTCCCAAGGAGGAAGCCAGAAAGTTCATTTTCCCAGCACTCCTTACAGGAGGGACACAAACACGAGTCCAGGCTTTCCCCATCAGGTGCTCCCGTGAACAACTCAGGATCCCGAGCAGCACCAGGAAGCAGAGGGTGCATGGCACCGATTTTTGTTTCTATTTTTTGAGTGGGGATGGGGGACAGGGTGCAGAAGCTTCTGGACTCCAGGGCCAGCCTCAGCAGTGCAGGGTGCAGGGTGTGGTTTCTGCCTCCTGCAGTAGCTGGAAGATCTTGACTGGAGCTGTCCTGCGCCTGTGGTTTAATCCTTGCCCTGAGCCCTGTGGCCTCCAAGCCGGCTTCATGAGGGCCCTTGGAGCTTGATGACCTTCCTACCCTGTCCTTTAACCAGTCCCTTTTCTGCTTCTTGCTGGAGTGAGCTGGGCGGTTTTCTCTGAATCTGCTCCTGTCCTGGGTTCTCCTTTAAGGAGCGGTACCCTGGGTACCCGACCCCTCAGCCAGATGCCCAGCAGATGTTCTCATGCTTCCACTTTCCTTACCCCTTCATGTCCGGTGGTCACTCCTTTCTGTGCCTTCCATGTGCTACATCTCTCTCTGCTGTGTCCTGTCTTCTGCACCCTGTGGCCTCCACGTAAGTTTGCACCACCACCCATTCTTCCTTGGATGAATGCAGGGATCTCCCCGGGTCTCCCTGTCTCCATGGGGGCCACCAGCATCGGAGCCAGCTTCTTCTCTGTGGCAGAGATGATCTTTTTCAGTCCTCCTCTGGCCATGGCCCTCTCCTGCTCCTCTTTCCAGGACTCCCAAGTCCCTGGGATGTGCTCCAGCCGCTAAGAGAGCCTCGAAGCTTGATGACGTGGCCTCCACAGTCCTCCCGAGCAGCTGCCCCACCTACCCTCATCCTTCAGCTCCATTACATTTCCTTTTTCTGTTTAATTTTTTGAATAGGTGTTGTATTTACATGGCTCAGAAATTTGCATCCGTGTGTATCCGTACATGTGTGCAGGCACGAAGAGCCTGTCTCACCCGTATTTCCTATGCACCCAGGTGCTAGCCCCATGCCAGCCCCAGTGGCCAGCTATGCTCTTTGTGACCTGCAAAGCTTTCTACAGCTGTTTTATGAAAAGAATAGGAATTATTGTAAATTATGGTAAAATATATATAACATAAAATTCACCATCTTAACCACTTTTTTTTTCTTTTCTTTTTTTTTTTTTTTTTTTTTTTTTGAGAAGCGGTCTCGCTCTGTCACCCAGGCCGGAGTGCAATGGCACAATCTTGGCTCACTGCAACCTCCGCCTCCCAGGTTCAAGAGATGCTCCTGCCTCAGCCTCCCGAGTAGCTGGGATTACAGGCACGTGCCACCACGCCCGGCTAATTTTTGTATTTTTAGTAGAGACAGGGTTTCACCATGCTGGTGAAGGCCAGGCTGGTCTCAAACTCCTGACCTCAGGTGAGCCACCCGCCTTGGCCTCCCACAGTGCGGGGATTACATGCTTGAGTCACTGCACCTGGCCTAACCTCCTCATTTTCTAGATGAGGACACCGAAGCTTGGGGAGGAACAGGAATTGGCTCAGGCTAAGGAAAATCTGTCAATCTCTCTTGCACCAAAAAGGCAGAGCCGCCTTTCTCAAGGGGCTGTGTATTGGGGTGTTCTTGCACAGCTATAAAGAAATACCTGAGACTAGGTAATTTATAAGAAAAGAGGTTTAATTGGCTCAAGGTTCTGCAGCTGTACAGGAAGCGTGGTGCCAGAATTTCCTTCTGGGGAGGTCTCAGAGAGCTTTTACTGACGGCGAAAGGATGCAGGCCAGAGAAGGGGAGCAAGAGAGAGTAGGAAGGGGAGGTGCCACAAACTTCAACAACCAGATCTGGCAAGGACTCACTCACCATTGCAAGGACAGCACCAAGTCATGAAGGATCCGCCCCCATGACCCAAACACCTTCCACCAGGTCGCACCTCCAACATTGGGAATTACATTTCAACATGAGATTTGGGTGGGGGACAAATATCCAAACTATGTCATGGGGCAAGAGGAGGTCCCTGGAGCTGTTGAAGCAGAAATGGGGTGAAGAATAGAGGTGGAGAGCGCTTAGGCTTCCAAGGTCTCTTCTAAGTGTGAGATGGAGGGATTCTGTGACCAGGTCATCTGGAGAGTGACTCAACAAGGTGATTACTTTCCCAAGCATGGGCCCTCAAGGGTCAGACAGGGGCTGAAAACTGCCACACATTCTTCCCAGATCCTTTGACACGTGATCATTCAAAGATAACAGTTCAAAGATAACAAAGGGATTGGAGCTTTACCAATCCCTTTCTTATTGTGGCATTTTCTCTATTAAAAATAAATATTGATACTGTAACTTACAGAATCAGTACCAATTCTGAAAGTATACAAAGTGTTGCCTTACTTTAAGGAAGGAGACCACTACTACTCCTGCTACCCTCCTCCCTCCACCTTGCCTAGTTCACAAGACAGGAGGAAAGTGAGAAACAAAAAGTTGGAAAGAAACAGAAGTAAGGTAAATAGCCAGACAACCTTGGCACCACCACCCGGCCCCAGGAGTTAAAAAAAGTAATAATAATGACATCAACCCCTGACCTAAACTACCTGTGTTACCTGTAAATTCCAGACTATGTATGAAAAAGCATTGCAGGGCTGGGCACGGTGGCTCATGCCTGTAATTCCAGCACTTTGGGAGGCCGAGGCGGGTGGATCATGAGGTCAGGAGATCGAGACCATCCTGGCTAACACGGTGAAACCCCATCTCTACTAAAAATACAAAAAATTAGCCAGGCATGGTGGCAGGCGCCTGTAGTCCCAGCTACTCGGGAGGCTGAGGCAGGAGAATGGCATGAACCTGGGAGATGGAGCTTGCAGTGAACCGAGATTGCGCCACTGCACTCTAGCCTGGGTGACAGAGCGAGACTCTGTCTCAAAAAAAAAAAGAGAAAAATCATTGCAAAACTTTCTGTCTGTTAGCTGTTGCACGTAGCCCCCAGTCACGTTTCCCACGCTTGCTCGATTTATCACGACCCTTTCACGTGGACCCCTTAAAGTTGTAAGCCTTTAAAAAGGCCAAGCATTGGCTGGGCGCAGTGGCTTACACCTGTAATCCCAGCACTTTGGGAGGCCGAGGCAGGCAGATCACAAGGTTAGGAGATCGAGACTATCCTGGCTAATACGGTGAAACCCCATCTCTACTAAAAACACAAAAAATTAGCTGGGCGAGGTGGCGGGCACCTGTAGTCCCAGCTACTCGGGAGGCTGAGGCAGGAGAATGGCGTGAACCCGGGAGGCAGAGGCAGCGAGCCAAGTTTGCACCACTGTACTCCAGCCTGGGCGACAGAGCAAGATTCCATCAAAAAAAAAAAAGGCCAAGAACTTATTTTTCAGGGAGCTGGCTCTTAAGACACAAGTCTGCCGATGCTCCCAGCCAAATAAACCTCTTTATTCTTTAATCCAGTGTCTGAGGAGTTTTGTCTGCAGCTCGTCCTGCTACGACTTCATGTCATATCTGGAAAGCTTACATAGGCTGGGCATGGTGGCTCACGTCTGTAATCCCAGTACTTTGGAAGGCCGAGGCAGGCGTATCACCTGAGGTCAGGAGTTCACGACCAGCCTGGTCAACATGGCGAAACCCCGTCTCTACTAAAAATACAGAAATTAGCCGGGTGTGGTAGCAGGTGCCTGTAATCCCAGCTACTCAGGGGAGGCTGAGGCATGAGAATTGCTTGAACCTGGGAGAGGCAGGTTGCAGTGAGCTGAGATGGCGTCACTCTACTCCAGCCTGGGAGATAGTGAGACTCTGTCTCCAAAAAAAAAAAAAAAAAAAAAATTAGCCAGGCGTGGTGATGCATGCCTGTAATCCCAGCTACCTGGGAGGCTGTGGTAGGAGAATCGCTTGAACCCGGGAGGAGGAGGTTGCAGAGAGCCGAAATTGCGCCATTGCACTCTAGCCTGGGCAAAAAGGGCAAAACTCCATCAAAAAGAAAAGAAAAAAGAGGAGGGGAGGGGAGGGGAAGGGAGGGGAGGGGAGAAGAAAAAGAGAATGGAAGGTTACATACCTGTGAAAGTAAACTGCCAACCATAAGCAACAAATCCAAGTGACATGTCTTCTTCATGGTCCTGACACAGACACGTGGGTTCGATCTGACAGCAGCCTGTGCCGTCACAGCTACCGCTCATGCATGCATTCGGGGTGCCCAAAGTGACGCTGAAGGGGGCATTCCTGGATTCAGCCCTCCAGGAGACCACGAGGAGGCCGGTGCGATAGAATCAGAGGAAGACGCCTGGGCTGCGCAGAGGCCACTGTAAGTGAGGAGTGAAGAGGCCAAGCTGACTCCCAGCAGCCAGGGCCACTAAGGTGGGTGCCGAGGCAGAGGCTAGGCTGGGAACATGAGAGGCCGTTTGGGTGAGGAGATAAGTTCCGTGAGTGAGGGCCAAGGGCCTGACCTCCTAGTGTGGCTGGAGAAGCAGAGACAACTGAGCGCAAAAAGAGAAAAGGGCTAGGCGAGGCCATCTGGCAAAGCACAGCCCACCCGGCACTGCCTGCCTGAGGCTGCAAAAACAGGCGGGCTCTTCCTGTCGGTTTGCCCGCCACGCGCCTTCCGAGATGGCCAGGAATTGACTTCTCTGTGGCCAATGAGGTGCCTCCCGTATTCCTCCAGGCTCATCCAATGAATTTATCCGATGCTTTTGCGTCCACCAATGGGGTTTCGAGTGCTGTGTGGCCAGGCTGGCCCGGCCTTGGAGAGGCCTAGAAGAATGCCAAGCCCCGGGAGAAGGCGTTCCGGGCCTCAGCTTTGGCGTCGTGAGATTTTTGTGAGGCGTCTGCCTGGAAGCCGGCGGAAATTTTGCTTCTTTAAGGAGAAAAAGAAGGCTAGGGACTCAGATTCCTGGATTCTGAGGAAAGAGAAGGCTGGGGACCCAGATCCTGGCTCTGAGGGGAACGAGGGTTGAGGGCCTGGGCTCCCGGGCCTGAGAGGGGAGGGGCCCAGAATGTCGTGTCCCACGGGAAAAAGTGGTTGGAACCCAAACTCCTCGATCCCTACATAGGACGGGGCTGGGCTCTCAGAATCCCGGGTTCTGATGGGGCTGGGGCTGGGGACTGAGATTCTGGGTCCCTGAGAGAATGTAAGGGACCCCTGAGACTGAGGGAGAAGCGGCCTTCAGGGCCACAGTCCTGATCCTGAAGTTGGAGAGCACTGGGTGGCAGGGCCCGAGAATAAAAACTATGAAAAACTGGGCCATGATAAACCTGTGAACTCGCTCCAGCTCTCAAGCCGATTAGGGACAGACCGACTTCAGAGGTCCTGGTCATATACACCATAAACCCCACTGTGAGGCCAGGCGCGGGGGCTCATGCCCGGAATCCCAGCACTTTGGGGGGCCGAGGCGGGCGGATCACCTGAGGTCAGGAGTTCAAGACCAGCCTGACCAACATGGTGAAACCCCATCTCTACTAAAAATACAAAAAATTCACCGGGTGTGGTGGCGGGCACCTGTAATCCTGGCTACTCGGGAGGCTGAAGCTGGAGAATCGCTTGAACCTGGGAACAGAGGCAGTGAGCCGAGATTGCGCCACTGCACTCCAGCCTAGGCGACAGTGCAAGACTCCATCTCAAAAAAAAAAAAAAAAAAAAATGCAGATTAAAACACCCCACCCTGAAGTCAGTACTTGCCAGGACCTAGATTTGATCTCATGCGCTCTGACTGAAAAGTTAGTTGCTTTCTCTCCATCAAATTCACAGATCCAGACCAGCTCCTCCCAAACCTCTCCAGAAGAAGCCATGGGAACCCCTCGTATCCAGCATTTGCTGGTCCTCCTGGTCCTAGGAACCTCCCTTCTGACCTGTGCGTATAGGGGACGTAGGGGAGAGCAGTGTGTCACAGAAGGTGGACTGATGATGGAAAAGGAGCCGCTTTGTCCCATGGAGAAGTGCTTATCCTCTTCTCGTTTTCTCCCCAGCGGGCCTAGAACTGTATTGTCAAAAGAGTCTGTCCATGACTGTGGAAGCGGATCCAGCCAATATGTTTAACTGGACCACAGAGGAAGTTGAGACTTGTGACAAAGGGGCACTTTGCCAGGAAACCGTACTAATGATTAAAGCAGGTGAAATGAGATGGGGCAGTTGGACTGGGTAGGAGGGAGGTTGATTATGTCCATGTTAATGCTTGTTCCCTTTGTCCAGGCCAATCCTGAGGGCCACCATCCATTTCCCCTCCTTCCTGTCACATAACAGGGACTGAGACAGCCATTTTGGCCATGAAGGGCTGCATCCCAGATGGGGAGGAGGCCATAACAATTGTCCAGCACTCTCCACACCCCGGCCTGATTGCGATCTCCTACAGTAACTACTGCGAGGATTCCTTCTGTAATGACAAAGACAGCCTGTCTCAGTTTTGGGAGTTCAGTGAGACCACAGGTACCCTGGAAGTGGGAGAGATAGGTACTAAGAGAAACTCCATAAAGAGCGTGTGCATGGCCTCCCTTTGCATTCTGACCTGGCTTAGCCTAAGTGGCCCATACCCCAAAGTACCTCACAGTTCAAGTAATTTTATTTTTCTGAATTGTTCGCTGGGATCTAAACACTGCTCAGAGCAGAGAGACACCAGTAAAGCTGGAGTATAAACTGGGTTTTGTGTTTATTAAGCAATATGACAGGCCGGGTGAGGTGGATTACCTGAGGTCAGGGATTCAAGACCAGCCTGGCCAACGTGGTGAAACCCTGCCTCTATTAAAAATACAAAAATTAGCTTGGCCTGGCGGCACACACCTGTAATCCCAGCCACTCGGGAGGCTGAGGCAGGAGAATTGCTTGAACCCAGGAGGCAGAGGTTGCAGTGAGCCAATAGTGTGCCACTGCACTTCAGCCTGGGAGAGAGAGCAAGACTCCATCTTAAAAAAGAAAAAAGCAATAAGCATCGGTGTAGGTTTCTGAGCAGGGTGGTATTATCAGTCTAACAAGTATTGGTTTCCCATTGCTGCGTGAGAACAGCCCAGTTCCCCAATTAACAAGCCCTATTAAGTAACTTGGCCCTGCCTGTCTTTTCAGCTTCATTTCCCTCTCTTCCCTCTCTCATTTACTGTGTGTTTCTGGGGCTAATACTCAAAATGCTTAACAATGTAGATGGCACTGGCCAATCAAAATGGATGTTGGCCATTTAAAAAAAAAAAAAAAATTCAGCTCAAAGAAATAGCTGGGCCTACAAGCTGAGTATCAGCCCTGCAACTTCTCACAATTCCCTGAATCCACCCAGATGGCTCACACCACCTGACCTTTGCCCTTGCTGTCCCTTACTACCCCTCCCCACCCCATTTTCACATAGCTAACCCCTGTTCATCCTCCATGTCAACTCAGGTATCAGCTCTTTGAAAATATTTACCAAATTCTTTTAGGTAGTTGGATATTCCTCCATTCCTTTGTCATTATACCTTGAACACAGCAGCTACTGAGTTGATTACTCACATGTCTTTCTCCTAGACAGAGATGCTAGATGACAGGAACTATGTCCTTTTCATCTCTGTATCTTCACACCTCCGCAGAGGTTGGAAGTCAGATTGATGGAGATTTCACAGCAGAGAGCACCAGCTGGGGAAGGATGGGGAGGCTGCAGTAATGGGCCTTGATTAGAGTGGCATCTGCAGGAAAATCTTGGGGAAGACAAGGCAGCAAGGAGCAAGACCTCTGGAGGCAGGACCTGCCCTTAACTGTCTCTCTCGTTTCCCTCCAGCTTCCACCGTGTCAACAACCCTCCATTGCCCAACCTGTGTGGCTTTGGGGACCTGTTTCAATGCTCCTTCTCTTCTCTGTCCCAATGGTACAACTCGATGCTATCAAGGAAAACTTGAGATCACTGGAGGTAAACTGAAATGAACATCTGATAGTTTCAGAGGCTGGAAAACCATTTGAGTGGATCCCAAGAGATTCTGACACTTAGCTCTCCAGGGATGAGGCGGGACTGGATTCTCCTCTGATGTCCTAAAACATCTCTGTCTCTCCCCATCCTTCCTTGTTCCATAGGTGGCATTGAGTCGTCTGTGGAGGTCAAAGGCTGTACAGCCACGATTGGCTGCAGGCTAATGTTTGGAATCTTAGCAGTAGGACCCATGTTTGTGAGGGAAGTGTGCCCACGTCAGCTTCTCACTCAACCTCGAAAGACTGAAAATGGGGCCACCTGTCTTCCCATTCCTGTTTGGGGGGTTACAGCTACTGCTGCCATTGCCGCTGCCATCAATTATTCACTTTTCCTAAGAAGGCAGTTCTGGGCCTGGGTCTGAGGACATCTTTTTTGACTGGGAGCCTTCTTACCATTGAGCTTCAACAAGTTGAGGAATAGGTGGGAATTTGAGGGAGAACAGAGAGATACTATGAATGTATCTGACATTTTTAATACAATTTCTGCTGTAATTTTTGTATGCAGTAGGCGTTACTAATAAACATTTCTGCTGTGATTTGTGTGTGTTTCAACACTAGAAGTGGAATTTTAGTGCTGAAAGAGCCTTTAAAATTCATCTTCTCCAAACCACACATTCTCCAGAAAGAGAATCTGAGATCTGGAAAACGTCAGTGAGTTTCTTACATTTAGCTATGGCCAGATCCAAGGCAAGAAGTTAGGTATTTTGACATAAAGTCTGATTTTCCTTTCACTCTAATATGCTAACTCCTCTTGCTAGCTGGAGCAGTAACTAGCTTTAGCCTTCTCCAGAGCACTCCCAGCCCAATCTTAAGGCTGCTGTTTTGGGGTCCTAAAATTTCCCTAGGAGGTATGGCCAAATGAGAAAAATCAGACTCCAAATTCTCCAATTATGGGCCTGCGGTAGTGGCTCATACCTGTAATCCCAGCACTTTGAGAGGCAGAGGTGGGAGGATTGCATGAGCCCAGGAGTTTGAGACCAGCCTGGGAAACCTAGTGAGACCACATCTCTACAAAAAAATATAATCCAAAAATTGGCCTGGCATGGTGGCGCTTGCCTGTTGTCCCAGCTACTTGGGAGGTTGAAGTGGGATGATCACTTATGTCCATAAAAAGAGTCAAACTCTGTAAAATATTTGAAAAGATGTATTCTGAACCAAATGTGAGTGACTATGGTGTGTGACACAGCGCTCAGGAGACCCTGAAAACGTGCCTAAGGTGGTCAGGGCACAGCCTAGTTTTATACCTTTTAGGAAGACATGAGGCAATCAAATACATGTAAGATGTACATTGTTTCAGTCCAGAAAGGCAGAACAACTCCAAGTGGAGGAAACTTCCAGATTATAGGCAGATTCAAAAATTTTCTGATTGGCAATAGGTTAAAAGAGTTATTATCTAAAGACCTGGAATCAATAGAAAGGAATGTCTGGGTTACAATGATAAGGGATCGTGGAAACCAAAGTTTTATCACACAAATGAAGCCGCCAAGTCGCAGGCTTCAGAGAGAATACATTGTAAATGTTTATCAGACTTAAGGTCTATGTTGATGTTCATGCTGGTCAGCTTTGCCCAAAATCCAAAAGGGAGGAGAGAATACATTGTAAATGTTTATCAGACTTAAGGTCTATGTTGACGTTCATGCTGGTCAACTTTTCCCAAAATCCAAAAGGGAGGAGGGTATAATGAGGCATGGCCAACTGTCCCTTACCACAGCATGGCCTGAACCAGTTTTTCAGGTTAACTTTGGAAAGCTCTGGCTGAGAGGAGGGGTCCATTCAGATGGTTGGGGGGCGGGAGTGGTTTATCATTTTATTTTTGTCTGCACTTGAGCTCAGGAGGTTGAGGCTACAGTGAGCCATGATCATGTCTCTGCACTTCAGACTGGATGACAGAGTGAGATCCTGTATCAAAACAAAGGACAAATTCTTTCATTATAGTGGGCCCCATTTCTCTGTGTCCTGTCTATCCCTTGCCCGCTCTCCATCATTCCTTGCCTTCCCTTGGGCTGACTTAATGACTCTTCAGTGGACTTGGGAGGAGGGAAGGATTTATTATGGTATGATGAATGGGGACCTGTGACTACTTGGGGGGCAGAGATTTTTGGAGAATGCTCATGCTTATTATTACTCAAAAATATATAAACTCTATCTTATTGTAAAAAACTCAAATGATATCAGAGGTGTATAGAGCAAAGTAAAAGGTGGGGAGGGTAAAGGGGAGACAGATATTTTCTTCTTAAAAAAAAAAAAAAGCTTTACTAAGACTTACCTGACACACAGTAATTGGCACCAGAGGTGGGAGAAGAGACTTTTATTACAAACCCTTGTTCCCCTCCCAAAAGACTGGGGAGTTTGGCCATGGTATATATATTTATTCCAACCAAGTTCTTTCTAGAAAGTTCTCTGGTTCTACCCACTGAGAAAGGAAAAAAAAAAAAAATCTTGGGACACCAAACTCACTATGCTAAAGGGAAAAGTCAGGCTTGGGAATGGAGTCACACCAAACT